TTTACTCACACTCCACTTGGTGAGGAATTCAAGGGACCACAACTGAGTAGCTAGATTACTCCCCTCTATAACCATCACTAAAAGTGATTCTTAAAAAGGAAGTTCAAGGGAACTCAAAGTAGGATCATTAAGGGCATTCATAACCTTACCATCTAGGAAAATTATCCCTCGCTTGGGGTAAGGCTAATCAATTATTCATCACCTCATGCCCTTATACATCAAGGTCAAAATAAGTCAAGACTAAACCTACAAGGGTCATCACCTTTGGTGTAAACTTTCAACCAACCATGCCTAGATACAACTAAGCACTTCCTCAAATGGCTACTTAAGATCAATCTTAGAATTAAACAAACCACTTCAAATTAGGTCAACGTCAATTCTCTCATTCTCTTTGAGAGTTCAGGGGTACATACTACCCTCTAGGTCACATTAGGGCAAAAAAATAATCCCAACTCATGGAATAAAAATCCTTTCTCCCTTTTCTCCACTTTTAGAATAGGTTAATATAGGAACTCATCAATTATTATTAAGGGTTCTCCCATTAACTAGCATACTCCACAATTTCCTTACCCAGCAACCATCTTCCCTCCTTAGGACCAAGTTTATACAAAAGACTCCAATCCACATATGGGCAACTATAAGGCATTACACATATATAATGGAAACATCCCTCTTTCACTATTTACCACTTTTCTCCAAAATACTTGAAGCCTATTTCATAACATTTCACTACCATCATACATAAGTATAATCAAGTTATCATTCCAAAGAGAAATCTATCCCACTATAAAAACCATTAACAATATATGACCAGATCATACCATAACTTCTCAACATATCACCCCAATTCTCATAAATTATCTATAGTCATAAATGGCATCACATCAAGACATACCAATTTTTACCTTCACACATAATCATCAAGTCACAAAACCAAAGTAAGTATCAAAACTCACCTTTTCTCCCTCAAGCTTTGAGACATCATCCCATCCAAGAAATCACATCTAAAAGGCAAACAAACAAGGAAACATAAGAGAGAAATCATATAGAGCTAAGTTCTATAACACGACACATGAGTAGTGAAGAAAGTGAAGCTCTATCTTTCTATAGCCTCTCACACATAAATATGTCGGGACACATCACCGAAAATGAGACTCTACTAGATGTGGAATTATGAGACTTTGGACCCTAAAACCATTTTCTGTAACCTTACCAAGTTTGTCACAACCGGGGAGCACCCCCTAGAAGTAACACAGCCTAATTGAACTCTTGGAGGTCTTATACAAGCCCTTAGACATCTTTCATTTCATAATCGTAAATAGCATAAAATTTAGAACTTTTCATAGCACAACATATGATAGAAACATCACTTCATATTTATATAAAATGTCATAATACATAATTAGACTGTAAGTCTCGTTGCCATCTTAAAACATACCTAAAAAGAATAGAATAAGGACATAACCCTTAACATCATAAAATAATATCTAAACTATTACATAATTTGAATAAGAACTGTACATAGAAAATGCTTGATTCATAAGGATCACATTTTTTTAACATGGGAGATATATCCAATCCCTTTCACTTCGGAGACATCCTCTAGACATCAACACCTACAGATTCTATAAAAAGATGAAGAAGAATGATATTTGTCCAAGAATGCACTTAGTATGAAAACCATGCAAAAACATGCATTTTAAGACAACATTTAGATGAAAATCATGCATCATGTCTTTTTAGTAAAATTCATGAACATTGGCACAATAACCACAACATAGTTAACATACATAAAATAGACATGGATGTTATTTATAATAACACATAAAAGCAGTTATCACATTTTGAGGCACATTCATTACATATAACACATTACTTATTATTTTTTACCTCAATATCTTTCCTTAAGCAACCCTAAAGTGTACTTAGAACAATGTATCACCTAAAAGTCATCTAAGATAGTCTTTCATAGATATATTATATCAAAACAACAACATATATTTATGAAGTTATGAGCACATCATAGACATAAATTTCACATAAGAACCATCATCTAAGACAACTTCCAAGTCACACTAGTACAATGTGTAGGTAGCATTTACCAGTACTACTTACACTAAGTGTTCCTAAGAAGTCATCCTTGACTAGTCATAACATACTGAACAAGTCATAACACCTTCAATTATCATTAGAAATAAGGCACATACTTCATAGCATCATATAAAGACTCATTCCTTTACTACAACCTTAGTCATAACTCATTTAGTTCATATCATAGGTAAACCACCCTAATAACCCCTTCACAAGCTATCTTGTGCAATGTACACAAAGAGTCCCACACCCCCACATATACAAAGTAAACTCACTTAGGAGCCATAAGTGTAACTCACATGCATAATCATATTTCATGTCTTCTCATAGCATAGTCACTTTAACATGCATTCATACAATTCATAAATAATATAAGTCTTCATTTTATAAAAGTACTAATCTTATCCTTTCTTGGAGTTCACTAGTGCAATGTTTGGGTAGGGTCCATAGTCCTACCTATTCTAAGTAACCTCCTTAAAGAGTTATGATTAGTGTCCATTTTATAATCTTAGTTCATTTGTTAACTTTCAAGAGATATAGCAATAACCGACATAGACCATGTGATCTACATGGAATATAGTGTTCTACTCCCATACCTAAAAGAGAGGGTACTACTTTCCAAGGTAGGACCTTCATACATAAGAGCTATACTAGTGGATACACTAAGCTAAACCCTATGGAGCACATATTTATAGAACATGGAGATTTGTACTAGATCCTTGACTTTCTAGCGTAGAGGTTTCCATATCATGAGACAACATCTAAGTTGGGAACCAAAACTTGCTAAAAGTTAAGATTCTCTTGTGGGATGCCGGACTTACTAAACGTAATGCTACCGCTCTTATTTGTCATTGTCACTCGGTGCTAAGTTCAAATTTCTTATTTAATTATATTGAAGCCTTTAGTACATTAGTTCATAAAGAAGACTTTAGGAGCTTGCTCATTCATATATGTATAACTCTAAGGTTTCTAAGATGAGAATGTCCTTTAATTATAGAACCTACTTCATGTGAGAAAGTCGGTTTACTTAAATCTACCATTTATACAACCATGTGAATGTGCATACAAATGTGAGATCTCCCTTCACATAAACACCTCTACACACACATGTTCATTACTTTATTAATCATATACTTACATGCATAGCAATAGGTAATGATACATTGGAGAACTATCCTTTACATATGTCACACCCCAACCCTCGGTGAAGCGTACAAGTACTACATGAATACATGATACACGATTCATCTATGATTAGAAGGTAAACTACTACTATACTAATATTTTTAATAATGAGAAACTTCATATACAACACATTTGTGCTAGCTGAACCGATACACGTGACAAGTGAAACTATAAATAGAGATGATAGCTATAAAATGTCTACAAAGACTCTATTAGTATCCATGATTGTACCACTATGACTACAAATAATAAAGACTCAACAAAGCCCTGAATCAACCTAGAGATCACCAACAACCGCTAAGCATTTTGTGTTTTTATTGGGGAGATCTACTAGATGAGTTCTTATACCTGCAGCATGAAAATGCAACATCCCCAATAGGGAACGTCAGTACGAAATAATGTACTGAATATGTAAGTCATAAAACAACCATATGTAAAATGAGTTCAAGTGAAACCAAATACCAATAGATAAGAATTAGAGACAACATTTGCTTATACTTGTGGAATCGTGTATGTTATATTCTTTTCCTTAATTTTATGTGCGCTATACTATTTAAAAGATATATGATACAAATGACCAGCTGATCAGTGGTAGTATAGGATGACCATGCTAGGAATTTTAACTCCTGGGATGTTGTGCTCATAATTCCACAAATAGGGCTCGGCCTATTATCAATTGGATCGACCCTTCTATACCAATTGGGATCGACCAATGCTAGGCTTTTACTTGTAAGATGCCACCCTTCAATGCCAAAAGGGATAGACCCATGTAGGCATTCACCCCTGAGATGTCACCCTTCTATACCAATTTGCATCGACCTATGCTAGTCATTTGCCACTAAGCTGCCACCCATAATTATACAAATGACTTCACTTAAATTGTTTAATCTTTCAAATTGTTGTTTTTATGTTCATAACAATTTTGAGATTGTTGTTTTGTTGATAATAACTCATTTGGGATTGTTGTTTTGGTGCTTATAATCATCATTTAAATTCGGAACTATGGACCAATTGAAGACATATGAATATAGAGTTACGATAATAACAATGACAGGAGAAGCAAATGTAACATCAACATGATACTTAGGAGCTTAAATGACTCGATAAGCATTTAGACATCTCAAATTGAAGCACATTAAGTAAAGACATTTATCATTCAGCGAAGAGATTTTAACTCTATATGATGTTCACTAACTAATATGAAATACAAGGTTTTCATAAATGTGGAACCAAGGGGGAACATGGGAAGATTCAACTTAAGGACGAATACATATTCCAAGTAAGTAAATATAAAGTGTATAAGAGATCAAGTAGACATCTTCTTAGGTAACGTAATAGTCTAACACATTGGGAGTAATAACCAATAAAGGGAATACATGAACATGTTAAAGATGACATATACGATTTAATAGATAATTGAAGCAAGTTGGCAAGATTTGTGCATATCGTATATCGAACATATAAACATATGTACCATGTGTAATCCAGGACCACTTTGATTTATACAAGGGAAATATGTGCCCGGGGTACTTTGACGATGAAATTTTTTTAAACCTTGCATGCTAACATTTAGTAGAGTAAACATGTACATTTAGTAACAAACTCATATTAGAGTGCTCACTTTAATGCCCTAAGGAGTAGGACCTATAACTATGGATTAGTCACTACCAAGGGCACTTAGAAAGCTTATTTTTGTAATACAAGTTTTAGAGTGATGCCAAAGAAAATAGGAAATCGAATAGCCTTACATACCTTAATTGCCAATTCGTAAAGCTTTCGAAGTGTCATCCTTTCCTTTAACGTCATTGTCTTCATCTACAACAACCAATCATTAAGGGTATACTAATAGTATCTTACCAACCAACTCGGGATATTTCAATTCATCAAAATAGTAGCCATCCCATAATCTTTCTAATTGATCATTTAATCTCACAAATTCAGTCTGCTATAGTTATTTACACGAAACAACATTCCCATTGAATGGACAGTGAGTTTACTAAAATTTTGATTCAATGGTTTGTCAAATAGCTTATAAATTAGCCCCCTAGAGCTTTCTGCAATCATTTTCTAATTACATCCATGACCTCCCATACAATTATTTTCTAAGTACATCCATGACCTCCTGTACACAAATCAATACAATAGAAGTCTTCAACACTAAAAAATAATTAAAGAACTTGAGTTTAAGGTTTTAAATCATCATCTTACGAGTTGCAATAAACAAGTCTAGAATTCTCAAATAAACTACTATTTAAAGGTTGTGGCAGCACCCTTACCTTTACTATATAAATCCGTTATTCTCCTTCAATTACTGTTTTTGTAACCTTCTCTTAATCTTTGAAAGAGAGTGGCAGAACCTTGACTTTCAATACATATAGTATCTATCTCTAGTTCACTCCCTTTAATGAATTGTCCAATATACTTGAAACAATAGAGGAGATAAGGTGATCTTGTTGCTGCTTTGGAAGAAACAAGGTGAAAAATAGTTAGAACCCTAGGGGAAAATTGGGTGGTTGCGTCGTCTTGAAAGAGAGAAATATATGACTTTGAGAGCGTGAAATTTGGATTAGAGGAAAATGTGATAGTTGTATTAGATTTTTTACATTAGTAAGTTCTCTTTTGCCATCTTTCTTGTAGTTCATTGAAGCCAACATGTGTCCCTGATTTAGGCCACACATTTAAGTAGGTGATGCATCTACTTTTCCATTCAAATTATTTCTTGTGGGCTTTGAAAGATTGGGCCTTGGATGTCCATTTTCCCCTTATTTTTCTATTAATTTTGGGCCATATATAGGTTGTTTACTTGTCCCATAAACATGGTCAAAAGAGTCTTAGTAGGTGATGCACCTACATGGTCCTTTTGCTGGTCAATAAGTCAAAGTAAGTGATGCACATACTCATCACCTACTAGCTAAGTGAAGTCAAGCATGCACCTAAATATTTAATTTATAGACCTTAATACCTTTAACTTAACTTAAAAGTTATATACACTATGTCAATTTTCTATTCTAGACTGAACTACCACCTTATGATTTAAAGTATAAATACGTCATCGACGTCAACTTAATCTATGGGATGTTCACATTGAACCTATTATATTTTAACTAGTCGCATAGAAAAATGACTTTATAACTATACCACAAGGCAATTGATAAGCATTGTATAAATTAAACAAGTACACATAGAATATAGGATGTTACAGCCTCCCCCCTTATGATCATTCGTCTTCAAATGATGGGTGTCTTTGATAGTTTGGTTAATCTTGTAATTTCATTTGGAGATTTGTGAGATTTACAATATTAATAGGACTATCAAAAATCCATACACTAAACACATATGTGTCTAGCATTAAGTCTCCATGGATATGGTAAAATGATAATATGAAAAATTAAACCCCCTTTCCTCACCATGTAATTCATTGAATACCTAATTAGAACTCATACAAAGAAGGACTTTAATATACCTAAACACAAGACATGCAAATGACACATCAAATGAGCAAATGCTAGTTGGATTTATGATTATACAAGGGGACCACATGATCTCAGATCCTTATGTTGATGTTTAGGATGAAGAGGGGTATTTAGGATCTCCTGCAATCTTTTATTGCAAGAATCTTATGCTATATTACATTCCATCCACAATACTTTAATGGAGGTTTTTACATTTTGAGATTTGTTTCCGAGCCTTAACAATCAAGAAAAACTATAGTATCTCCCAAAATCTTTGTATATGGAATGGACACATAAAATCATAGACCTAATCGATCGAGGCACTACTTTCCCTTCTCTTCTTTTTCTTGATGATTTTTAATGGCGAATCTTATAAGAATGCATAGATGTTAATGTAAACTCTAAAGTTTTATGTTGCACCTTTTAATAAGGAATTATGCTAAGTTATATATCTAAGATTGTGATAAAATTTACATATATGTCCAACGTTTTCTAGTCAAAGTCATCACTACATCTTGATACAAGGAAACATTTTTCAAAAAATTTTAATACTCTAAGTCAATAAGCACAGAGTAGCATAGAATACAGACAAATAAGTTACATTGAGTATGACACACAGGCAGACTAGCACAAAAAAGAGAGCACCTAATTTATGGGCATTAATCTATAGAAAAATGTGGTGTATACAGCATATGAACTAAGGTAGAGTGTCAATGAATGAGCTATAAGGAACATGTAGGAAATAGACTAGATGACCACATGATGCATGAGTACTAAAGCTACGAAATGTAATATATCGCAAGTAGACTATAATTCATGTAGACATAAAGGGAAATGAACTACAGAACACATATCACATTGAGCAAGTGTGTTATATCACATGGATAGGTGGACTAACATATCAATGAGTAAACATATGAAATATGAGCAAGTGAGCACATGACACATGGGTAGAAAAGCTATAAGTCCAATGCTTAATCAAGTAGGCTACGAGGCATGTAAAATATATAGAAGTGGTCATATGATCAATTATCTTGAAATACACGCACAATATGGACAAGTTACATCAGGAAGGTAGCCAGTGCAATAAATAACATATACGGAAAAGGTGATACGGAAACATCTAGCAATAAACAAGGATACTCTCCAAAGTAGACAAGACTTACATGGAAGTAATTTGTGACATTAGGTGACCTGTGAGGAAGTAAGTAACCCATGAAGGAAAAAGGACACACAAATAGATAAATTATAGAACATGAAGCATGTATAATTCTATAACAAACCATATTTGAAAATTACAAGATATCCTATAGAACCACTCTACCATAATAAGGGTAAAAACACTGTCTTAAGAGTTAAGTCACGGGTGGGATACTTCTGCTTATATATCTTACTCACCTCAAAGCACATACAATTGATTTCCCGATATACTCTCTTCAATATCCTAAGAATCCTTATAAGTTTTCTGCTATTTGGACTTGGCTTGTCAATATACATACTATTTTTAGGATAAAATCCTCAATAGTACATCCTTTGGAGTAGGAGGTTGAGTTCAACTTTGCCTTCTCTACTAGCTTTTGTCACATCACACTCAATTTCTGGTGTATTTTAAAGGTCATTATTGAAAATAGATAATATTGAACATAATATAAAGTATGAACTCTAATAACATGTAAATGTCAAGTACCTATAATGTTATATCATGATTCGTAAAATCTTAGAGTTAGCCCCTTTGAGATTAACTAGATAGGTCTGTCCATACTAATAGATTTAAGAAAAATATGTGAGGGTTCTCTAACTCTTTTCCTATGCAAGATAGCAAATAGCAATAAATAACATATGAGCAATTTTTCATCTCCCTTAACTGGACTATGACTGAAAAATTACTACATGAAAATATTAAATGAACCCCTTGGGAGCTCTATTCATGTGAATAAAGATCTATTTTTCTTTTGTACTAATGATGTAGATGAACTAGGTCCATATATCTTCTATCTAGGTAACCTTTCTATTCCCCTCTCTTTCTTGGTGTTATCCGGTCCAAATATCAAGACTTGAATCAATACTAAAATGAGTTCCTGTAAAACAAAGGTTCACAAATTTTTTCTGCAGTGCGCCATTATAACTCGTTATAGTTGAAGAGTTGATACCTTTTTATTGCCTCATACACTTAGTAACCTCTCTTTCATAATCACCTATCTCACTCCTCTATAGCATCCCCATATCCGCCTAATTCTATGTTTAGGGAATTTGACATATCCCATCTCTAATGAGAAGCTCTACGTACATATTCAGTCGTGTAATTCAAGATTCGTTCCCATATTCTTCCTATCTAACAAGTACCTTTCAATCAAAACTAGTAGCTTCATTTACTACATCCCACTATGTACAACTTGACTAACCACACCTTAGGTCTAACCAATCAATTTTTTTTCCTTTTGTTAACCTTACCCTTTAGTAACATACTAATCTTCCATAACCAAAACATAAGTCATAATAGGAACTACCATACATCTATCCTTTGTAGAAATTGGCATACTTATCCCTAAGTTTTATAACCATGAAAAGAATACATATGTTATCAGTACTCATTAAGGGTTGTCGGAAAATGCCATATAAAAGCCAAATATTAACATACTTGAGATGATATATGGTGAGAATTTTGGCCTTTTCATCTTATTAGGGTTGTCTCTAACACTATTGCACTGATACATCCACCTATCAGATTGTGCCAGTGCCTTCTTCCGACTAAAAAAAACTGGTTCAACAACATCAATTTTGAGAACATGTTTAATTCTGAAAATTCTATGTATATCATAGACTAAGAGCGAGTGACCTCTATATGACTCAAGAGTTGGACACATCATTCTAAGAAGATATGCTTAGAAATGCTACAACTCACATATAGAACTAGGTAGCCCTTCATTTTAAGCATATGAATAATCATACTATATTTTTCTCAAATGAACCAACATGATAAAAATGGTAAAATGCAAATTAAAATTCATAAAACATAAAAACCTTTACATACCTTCTGGAGTGGGACGGTCGAATAAAAAGAGGTCAATGTAGTCCAAATTTTGATAACTTTTGACATTTATCTACTGTTAACCATCGTAAGCATAATATCAATAACCTGATCATGTGCAAGTGGAAATTGACTTCTTAACTTTGCTCTGTGGCACGATCTAGATTATGAAGGAAGGTAACATTTCTTAAATTTCCAAGCATCCCCCTAATTATAAATGTGGCTCTGCTACACACATCTTTAGAGAATCCCTAGGATGAACTGCTCTGATACCACTTTTGTCACATCTCAACCCTCGATGAGGTCGTGACAAGTACTAGATGAATACATGCTTTACGAGTCACCTATGATAAGAAGGTAAACTGATACTACGCAGATATATTTAGTAATGAGAGACTTCATATGCAACACACATTGACTAGCTAAACCAAAACACGTGACAAATGAAACCATGAATACATATGATACCTTTACAATGTCTACAAGGCCTCTAGTAGGATCCATGATTGTACCACTGTGATAACGATAATAAATACTAGGCAAAGCCTCGAAGTAACTTGGATCTCACAAACAACCGTCGGCTTTTATGTGCTTATACTGGGGAAATCTACTAGTTGAGTACCTGTACCTGCAACATGAAATGTGGCGTCCTCGATAAGGAATGTCAGTACAAAAGATTGTACTGAATATGTAAGGCATAAAATACCATAGGTAAAATGAGTTCAAGTGAAAACAAATACCAATAGAGAAAAATTGTAGACCACTTTTGCTTATACTTGTCGAATCGTGTATGTTACATTTTTTTTCTTTATTTTTATGTGCATTATAATATGTATAATATATATGACACAAATGACTAGTTTATCAGTTGTAGGTTTCAACCCTAAGCTTCCACCATTCCATACAAATAGGGATCGGACCATTTTAAGCTTTCCCCCCTGAGCTTCCACCCTTCTATACAAATTGGGATCGACCCATGTTAGGCATTCACCCCTTAGCTACCAGCCTTCCATATTAATAGGCATCGGCCCATACTAGGTTTTGGCCCCTATGTTTCCACCCTTCTATAACAATAGGGATCCACCGATGCTAGGCATTTTCCTCTTGGCTGCCACCCATAATTATACATATAGCTTTACTTAAATTTCTTAATCTTTGATATTATTGTTTTGTTGTTCATAAATCTTTTGAGATTGTTCTTTTGTTGATAATAACTTATTTGGGATTTTTTTGGTGCTCATAATCATCGTTTAAATTTGGAACTATAGACCAGTAGTAGAAGACATATGAATATAGACTTACGATTATAAAAATGACGTGGGAAGCAAATGTGACATCTCAAATTTAAGCACATCAAGTAAAGTCATTTATCATTAAGCCAAGATATTTGAACTCTAAATGATACTCACTAACTAATAAATACAAGGCCTTCATGAATGTTGAACCAAAGGTGAATGTGGGCAGATTCAACTTAAGGACGGATACATATTCCAAGTAAGTAAATATAAAGTTTACACTAGACCATGAAGAATCTTCTGAGGTAACATAATAGTCTACCCAATGGGAGTAATAACAAATAAAAGGAACAAATGAACATGTAAAAATATGACATGTACGATGAATTAGATAATTGAAGCAAGTTTGCATGATTTGGTCAGATCGTACATCAAACATATAAACATATGTACCATGTGTAATCCTCGATCATTTTAATTTATATAAGGGAAATATATGCCAGGGCTACTTTGACGATGAAACAAGATTAAACCTTGCATGCTAATATTTGGTAGAGTAAACATGTACATTTAGTAACAAACTCATATTAGAGTGCTCAATTTAATGCTTTAAGGAGTAGGAACTATAACTATGGATCAGTCACTACCAAGGGCACAGAAAGCATACTTTTTGTAATGCAAGTTTTAGATTATGCCAAACAAAATAAGAAATTTAATAGCCCTCAATTACCATTTCATATAGCTTTCGAAGTGTCAACTTATCCCTTAACGTCATTTTCTACGTCTACTACAAAAATTCATTAAGGCTATAATATTAGAAGCTTACCAACCAACTCGGGATATTTCAACTCATCAAATTAGTAGCCATCCGATTATCTTTCTAATTGTTTATTTTCTCTCACAAATTCAGTTCATTATAGTTATTTACCCGAAAAACCTTCCCAAGGAATGGACGGTGAGTTTAACAAAATGTTAATTTAATGGTGTATCAACATAGCTTATAAATCATCCCCCTACAGCTTTTTGCAATCATTCTCTAAGTACATCCATAACCTCCCATAGATAAATCAATACAATAGCAGTCTTCAATATCATATTTTTGACTTTAATATGTTCTCTTTTGCCACCTTTCTTATACTTCATTTGCAACCATCATGTGTCTTTAATTTAGGCCACACATTTAAGTAGGTGATGCACTTACTTTTCTATTCATTTATTTTTTGTCGGCTTGGAATGGTTGGACCTTGGCTGTCCATTTCTCCCTTAATTTTATAGTCAACTTGGGCAATATATAGGTGGTGTACTTTGCCCAATACATGGTCAAAAGAGTCTTAGTAGGTGATGCACCTACTTTGTCCTTTGGGTGGTACTAGCTTAGTGAAGTCAAGCAAGAACCTCAATTTTTTAAATAATTCTAGACATTAGTACCTTTATCTTAACTTATAACTTATTTACGCTATGTAAATTTTCAATTTTAAGACTCAAATACCACCATATGGTTTCAAGTTTAAATATTTCATCGACCTTAAATTAATATATGGGAAGTTTACTCAAACATATTATATTTTGACTAGTCGCATAGGAAATCGAATTCATAACTATGCCACAAGCTAATTTATAAGCGTTGTATAAATAGAACAAGTACACTTAGAATACGGGATGTTACACCTTCGTCATAAATATGAATCTACCCTACTCGTAGACATGCATGAAGTGTGTGGACATTGGTCAACATGATCATATAATGGCTATAACATAACATTGAGGAAGCCACTCTCTAGAGATCACAACACATGTACAATATCCCTCAAGTCTTCGGTCATACACATCCAGAGTATTAAGGAATATAGACTACACACACTCACATTACATCATAGGAGGCAAGAGCATATTCAACATTAGAATAGAAGACTCCTTTCATACATTGATCACACATTCACATAGGGTTCGTATCGGTAGGTCTCATGCAAAGTATTCATCATCATTAGCCACATATACCACACATAACCCTAACAAGATCATTCACATATATAAAGCATCATCCACACAACTAGATCATGCAACTAGTGTTGAAGACTATACATATAACTTCACACAACATGAACTCACTTAGACGTGATACT